CGCTGATGCACGCTGCCGTAAAGTATGAACGCAGCCCAAAGACAGATAGTGCACTTAGGACGTTCTACCATGAACGAGATGAATGGGTCCGCAGGTCCAGAAGCGTGAAATTTTTTGCTCAAAAGTGCACGGGAACCCAGGTTGGAGGATAGTGAGTGATACCCGGGAGCCGCTCACCGACTAAGCGCGCGCGTCCTCAAGAATCAGCACTGGCGTCAATGCCAAGTTCCCGCAAAGAAGTACGTATTCACCGTTAGAGAACAACCATAAGTGAGAGGGCGCAGATAGGTAGCGCGTTTGATTACAGTTAGGCGTGTAGTTGGTCGGCGACAGCGCGGGCGAGTGCAGCTGCGGACTATTTCACCTCGCACATGACAAGGATCAAGATCCAGTGTACAGATCGTTACTAAAAGCAAGGATGGCACCTGTAGAAAGTGCCTCACCCTTCTGGGAAAGAGAAATACCAGCGGCCTCCCATCAATGAGCACAGAACATAGAGTAAAGCCCCATCTGTAGACTCAGGGTGGTAACCCGACTAACACCTCGGACGTGTTTGTTTCCCCAATGACATAAAGCAATGCGTGACTGAAGTATGAAATAAATATTGCACGAATTCAAAATGAAGCTGAACTAAAGAAACACGCAGAATTGAAAACAATCGGCTCGGCAAACTCACGATAACTCCAATTACAATGAGCGCGATCTGTAGACCACCGAGGGTGCCGCTCTGTGACGGTTCCGTTGTCGTCATGGGATCCTTAGTGTCACTCATTGTTGTGGATCGTGATGTTCCGCGTCGACCGAATAAAGCGGATACGGTGGTGTATGGTACCGGAAACGACGGACAAATGCAGAACAACTCCCGCTCGGGAGTTCGGCAACCCGCAACGATTGGCGAGAGAGTTGACGCTGAAAAAAATATCATCATTTTATGGTCACGTTTATTACAGCGGTATTTCACAGGGAATGAAAAGTATAAAGGAAATGACTACGTGAATTCAGACATGAAACGAGAATTAGGGTTGAATAATGAACTAAGCCGATTAATTCTAAGAAAAATCAGTGTACGTCGGAGCATTCGAATATCCCTTCGTTCGAATTCCCTCTAGTCCAGCAATTACTTGTTGCGTTGACGCAATTGTGGCAATAGTTTAAGTATCACCTGAGTTTATCGGGATGATTCCTTGAGTCCGGTGTCTATAAGGCGTTCAGACTTCGCGACAGCGTCGATCGCGCATTTTCGTCGACTGACGCAGTCCAAAGCATGGCGATCGATCGCGTCGAACGCGGGAAAGCCGTGGACGAGCGCACGCTGCAGAGAAGGGAGCCTGTACTTTCAATGACAAACGTAATGTCGCCATTGAGACGACCCCTGCTTGGCGGATTTCTGCATTGGAGCGAACGAGTGCCCAAAGTAGTGCACCTGTCCAAGGCATCTAGACCAGAGAACAACTTTAGGAAAGTTGAGTCCAAATACGAATCCCCGCTCGTACTGGATAGAGATAATGACCGGTCCATGCCTGCCATATTCTTGTCTCGGTGGGGACGCCTCGGGCGTATTCAGCGGAGCTGGGTTTCGACGCGCCGCGAGGCCAGTTTTCCTCCCAACTGTCGGTCGAGCCTGCCAGTTTCCCCACAATTGTTGAGAACGGGTTCGCGCTGCGCCAGCCCAGCCCCTGGGAACCCCTTAGCGTCCGTGGGGAACAAGACTGTACACAGTAGTGGACTTGCGGAGAAAGTATTGGACATCAGGGCCGACGCCATCCGTTGTTCATCATCACGAGCGGCGGGGGGGTCGTATTTGGGTCAGTTCATGGTGCGCACTACTATTTCCGACACTCAAAATGATAGTTCAACTCTTGACAACTCCCCCGTACTTATATCCCCCTGCTGACGGGCTCGGTTCGATGGAGGAAGAGACAGAGGGCTGGGAGGCTGGGAGGGGGGTCGCTACCCAAATTCCCAAAACGGGGGTCGTATTTCAGTAATGAAACTTAGGAGGGGTCCGTAATTTTCGAAAATGATCACAATTGCGATGCTTGCCCTGTGGAATGCGAAGACAGTAGTGGACATTGCGAAAGCGCTGAACAGCTACTCTCACAAGCTTTTATAAAGATTTGCTCGAAGAAAACATTTCAGCCAGGGCACGTCATCGCAAGGGGTTCTTTAACAGGAGGGGTTGTGTTCGGTCGCAGGGGGAGGAGGAGTCGTATTGTTCTGAGAAAATTTTTGATAGTGGGTTTTCAGCGTTCCACGTAACGTTATAGGAGAGGGAGGAGGGAGGCGTATTTATGCCTTCTTAAAAGACATTTGCAGCAGCTCACTACGATCCCCCTCCCTTCCCCCATTCTAATGACTTTTCGCGGTTTTTCCTGTTTCACATGTGCAACATACATAGACAACAAATTTCCGGGAAAACCAGGAAATTTACGGGGAATTTCGGAAAAAGCGGTAGGAAGTTGGGAAAACCTAACGAAGTGGTAGTAGAATGGGGGAAGGGGGGGGGGATCGTAGTGAGCTAGCCCTTACGGGAGGGTGCCCTGGTCTCAGTACAGGTCTCCTTGGTGCCTTTCACAATAGAAGATACCAAAGAACAATTCTAAATCCAAGGACAACTGCTCCGAACTCCGAGAACACCTGGATATCCTTGGCCTAAAATACTGCGCGAGAATGTTTGAAGAAAACGTGAGAATATTGTGTCGGGCCGCACACTTAGTTTGTTCAGACACCCTTCGTGGGAAATTCTGTCTGTGGCAAGAATTGCCATTGAAAGAGAGCTTTGATAAGCGAACACTCTCCTCCTCTACCTCCAACAGCATATGACACGAAAAGGGCGAGATATCTGTTTGTGAGATGACTTTGTCAGGAAAAGGGCACATCATCGGTGGGGATTCCCCAACAGGAGAGTCGTATTTGGTCAGTGGAGAAAGGGAGGTCGCATTTTCTCCGGGAGAAGAAAGAGTTTTTTTCGGTTTTTGAATTTTCTCGGTTCATCTTGTTTCAAAAGCGCTATGCACCCTCCGCTCACCAGGAGTTTTTTTGGGAAAGACCAGGAGTTTTTCGGGAAAGATTATTGGCAATTTCGAAAAAAAAACTTCGTAAAAAAGGTATGAAGTTGGGAAAAATGATAGGTAGGATACGGGTGATAGGGGAAGGGGGAGCATACCAGTGAATGAACCTTTGATGGGTTCGTATTTCGCGGAAAAAATCCCCTAACGTCAGCACTTCCCCCGACCAGGGAGTAGAGCAACAGGGAAAATAGGAAACCTCGTACGCTTCGGAACTATAACGGGGAATAAATAGAGTAACACCATAATGGGTGAGAAAATCTTCGAAAGAGCCTCCCCCCTTCCCAACGTCCCCGAGCGGGACGAGGGTGGAGATGGACTTCCGGTAAGCAATAAAAAGAGGAAAAACTGGAAACTTCGGACTAGAGACTATATAGCGTGCGCCTAAAACGGGAAAATCCACATCAGAAGAATGCGCAACTTGGCCGAATACGACCAAACCTTAAAAAAACTAGAACGAAACACTGCTAGAAAAGGCAGCAAGGATCAGGCGGAATGCGCCGCTGCAGTCCCTGCGGCTTACAGACAATTCCCGCGCTCAAGTAATTCGTAGGCGTCCTTACTTGTACAAGTAGTCTGGCTCTCAGCCTCCATGACAGGAAGGCACCGCGGCCTCATAGATGGCGGTTCCGACGCCTCCCTAGTTACTCCTCCCACCACAACTCATAGGCTTATTTCTGTCGCGAGTTCAATTTTAGAGTTTTTTTTTCTAACTGTTAGACGGTATTAGCACTGGACGACGGGAAAAAACGGTTGGTGAGCTTGAGTTGGCAGGGTATCACTTTGCTGGCATAAAACGAGCACGTCCAGACAACTCGTACAGATGCTGCCAAGGGTCCCTACTTGGGGTGTTCTCCACAATTTTTTTTTGCATTTTTTCCTGGAGAGTCACTTGGTGCCCATAGGTTCATTATTGAACCTCACTACCCACAATACGCAATCGCGGGGTTTGCCTTCAGGATCAGCAAGTCCATCCAGCTGTCTGAACTCCTTCCTCCCCTCGCGTTATGGAAACCCTACCGATGCCATTGCTCGTTGAGCATAATCCCTTACACGATAACCTGAAGAGATAGAAACAGACAGGTGTAGCAGTACAGCTAGGGGCCATAGCAGCACTAGAAAGCTATCTGAGAGAAGCATGAAACAAACTTCTGGGAAAATGATGGCAAATCATTTGATCATAATGAATGCGGAGGAAAGAGCTACAGAATGTTATTCAAAAATGCCCATCGGCATTCCATTGTCTCAAGCCTGAAATTCAAATGAGAATTAGACGCATTCATTGGACTTCAATGTAGAGCCGGGAATCAATGGAATGTTAAAGGGCTTTTCAGAATAAACAATCCATTGACGATAACGCTACAGATGGTGACGGTACTGAAAGGAACGACGTCTTAGCTGTCACAGCCACAAAGAGCGCAACAACATTGACTCGAAATGGGAGAATGCCGCCTTGGACGACGTATAAATGATGCTACAAACCATTGAACGGATCCACGCCGTTCTTCAGCAGGAGCAACAAATCAGGCGTTAGTGGGCCTTTAACAAAAACTGCACCGTAACTAAGTAGCAACATCGGCGAATAACCGGAAACGTTACGTTAGTGAAGATGAGCCTGGACGTTGTCAAATTGGGAACCCTCTACTTTTTGAAGAGACTGTCATACTGTAGTTATCACTTCATTTCGCGTGACATATGTTGGCCCTTCTCTGAAAACTTCATTTCATTCTGAGCAATTTTATACAGGAGATCAAAATAGACCAGTACGGACTAGGGCACAGCATGGGAGAAATTGGGAGAAACGGCGGTATCGGACCATTCCTCTCGATTTACGAAAGGGAGAGGAAAAGAATTTGACTTCTTCTCGCCATCCCACCTCTCACCTCCCTAAGGTTTTTCAACTTTCCACCGTTTCTCAGTTCCCCAAAGAGGTTTCAGTTTTCCTCACGGAAAAAAACTGCCGTCAGGGCGGAGAACCGTGAAAATTCGCCAACGACTGAAAAATGCTGTCACTGCTCGGAAAAATTTCTGTCAAGACTAGTTACCAACCTCATCAACCAAATGCGACCCTCCCTCTCCAATTACCATGTACAACCGCTCCCCCTGATGATATTTCCCTAACGATGCTGTACCCTGATACGGATGATAAGCAGCTAAGTATGGACCATGACTTCAGTCTTTGACCATCAACCACCAGAAATGGAAATTGGGAGGTAAAAGCTCCCTAAAGCAATATAGTTTGGCCTGCAGTAGACTCTGTCCAACGGGCGTTATGGAACGGGCTCGTGCTCAGAAAGTCAGAGGAGCTTCCCATAGGAATATAAAGTGTGTCTTTCAAAGCCCTGAGCAAGCGACCACAATGAG